CGAGCTGAGGCCTATCAGCCCACGACCATGAATCCAGAAGATGATGATACTGACCTAAAAGTGTACACTTATTCCATTGATATGTAATCCTTATTTTCAGCTGTTTCATATGAATTTTGATTTTATAATTGTTGTGGTACTTAAATATTGATTTATGGATTATTTTTCAGGGAGAAGATGATGATGCTGACATTGAATTTGTGAACTTTCCTAAGTTTGTGGTGGCAAGAAACTAGTAAGTATGCTAGAACTGCATGGATCATGGATAGACCAGCTATGTTGCATGGTTGATACTTTTGATGAACCTGATATATATTTATCATGTATGGTTGCATAATGGTGGACGTCACCTTCTGAAATTATTGTGGTATGAACATTATAAATATGTGAGTCCTATTTTTTAGTAGCTCACGAGCTAAACGAGCCGAGCTGAGTTGCCCCTCTATCTTATAATATTAACGAGCCGAGCCGAGCTGGCTCGTTAGCCTAACGAGCCAGCTCGAACTGGACTGAGCCGAGCCGAGCCAAGCTGGCTCAATATCCAGCCCTGCCCATGCCCACTTGCCCTGCCTGCAGATGCGCGCCGCGGAGGCGTCTGCAGGCCTTAGGCACCGACACTTGAACCACGGCGGTGCAACGGCAGCAGTAGGCGGACGACAGCATGCCAACAACCGATCTACTTTTAAAACATCCAGATGAAATATTTGTAACATAAATATGAAAACAGATGAAACACTTGAAACAAGCGTGTGTAGCCATTGCAACATGTGTGACACCAAGATCTACTTTTGAAACATCTAGATTAAACATTTGCAATATAAGTCTGAAACAGATCAAACACTTGAAACATGTGCTTAAAACATACATGTGTAGCCATTGCAACATGTCCAACACCAAGGTCTACTTTTGAAACATCCCGATGAAACATTTAAAACAAACATATGAAACACCTGAAACACTTGAAATATAGGCTTGCAGCATGCTTATATTGTCTTTGCAACATATGCAACACCCTAGATCGACTTTTACAACATTCGGATGAAACACTTGAAACATAAGTCTAAAACGTCAGAAACACTAAAAAACACAATGTTCGCCTGCGCAGCCATGTGCCTATCTGGTGGGGTAAGTGTGGTGGCGCAGGTGTAGGCATAGGCCTCCCTAGGCACAGGCGCAGGCCTCCCCTGCCTCCCCTCCCACGACAGGCGAGGTGGAGGGGGGCGCGACGTGGGCGAGGGAAGCAGCACGGGGAGGGGTCGGGTGCCTCGTGGGAAGGAGTAGCGCGAGAAGGGGGCTGGCCACACGGGAGAGACGCCAAAGCAAGCGCTTCATGCTGGGGAGGGAGCGGGGAAGAGAGAGCGTCCTGCCGTGGGAACCTTGTGACAGTAGGGTCGTTTGGAGGTACGGTGCGGTGAATGAGTGGACAAGAGGATAGGACTGGATAAGAGGATTTTTTTTGAGAAACTCCCATGCGGATGGGAGGGATAGTTGGCTGGTGTCACGGCCCACCAAATAGCGTCCGAGTGGGCGGACGCCCGCTCCGCAGCATTACTGCAATTATAATCACTTATGAAGGTCAAACAAGAGAAATCTTGGAACCGTCTTTCACTATTAACAGTGAAACATGGGTGCATTTATAATCCAAAAAATTACCAAACTCCTTTTCACACTTTGTTTGGACATTTCATATCCATGGAATTGAATTTGATCGATGTTTTTTTATGCATGGAACTGATGTTGACCACCGGTATGTGTGAGACGTAAGCTTCATCTCCATGGATTTATGCTGATCCCTTTTTTTTCTCGAATATGCAAGAGCATTGCATATCATTGTATTAAGAAGGTAGAAGTTTGAAATACAATAGAGACCATCCCGGCCCGACGGTTACCTCAAAGAGACTATATTTTAACTATGACAGCCTTGAGATCCATTAGGATCAACCTAGACTACGATCTAGCTAAAGTACCATTGGGATTTTATGCTGATCCCTTTGAACAAGTGATGACAAACCTAGCAATGACGACGCACCAAGCGCAGGGGCATGCTTGCCAGATGTAAGTGCCCACGTCCGCGTGCTTGAACATGCTCTTCTGGCACCACAAAGTGCCAAGCTTGCAATTCCCAACCCTCTCTCGTCAGGGCGGAGACCACACGCCGCCATGCACGCCGCCACGTACGCAAGCGCCGGTGACTAGCGCCCCCCCATCTCCGCACCCACCTGGCCGCCTCCCCTCGAAGCCGCACCGCATTAACACACCGATCGCGCAACTGCTTCCTAGCTTCGTTCCGGAGCGCCAGAAAGAAAAAAAGTAGCGCCTTTGCCCTCCACGCGATCGATCGATCCATCCATCCGGGGTCCGGCGGCCGGCCATGGTGAAGCTGGCGACGGCCAGGGAAGCGCGGCTGTACGGGCCGGCGCTGGCGGCGCGGCGATGGGAGTACATCAACGCGGGGGTGTACGTGTTCGCGGCGCTGCTCCTGGTCCTGGCGGCGGGCGTCCTCGCGGCGGCGCTGTCCGTGTCCTCCACCGCGTCCGCGTCCGCGGCCAGGGCGGGGCTCGCCGTGGCCGCCGTGGCGCTGGCGGCCGCCGCGGCCGTCAACGCGCACGACCTCGCCGCGCACCTCGCCGGCGTCGACTGCCACGTCGGGCTGGCGAGGTACGACGCGCAGCTCGGGCTCGTGGAGTTTCTCGTGCCGGTCGTCCACGCGGCCGGGTGCGCGCTCGCCGTCGTCGGCCTGGCGCTGCTGGTTTCCCACTCCCAGCACCTGGAGGGGAAGGGCGCGGCAGGGCACGGGAGACGGGAAGCGCACGCGGCGACCATGCTGCTCGTCGCGGCGCTGCTGTGGGTGCTGGGCTCGGTGCTCAACTCCTGCCAGGTGTACGAGCGCGCCGACGGCCGGGCGCAGCTGCTGCAGTCGAGCGTGCAGGTGCCTCAGCTCCTGGGGAGCCTGCTGTTCCTGGTCGCCGCGGCGCTGAACCGCCGCAGACGCGCAGTCACCGGCACAGGCAGCGGCGGCGAGGAGCCGGCTTGGCTGTGCCTGGCGGGGAGCGTGCTGTGGCTGGCGGCGGCGCTGCTCAACGTGCTCAAGGTGTTCACCATGCACCAGAGCGACGCGCTGCGGCTGGAGAAGCTCCGCGGCGGCGCGCAGGAGTGGCTCAGCCGCGACCGCGAGGGCCGCGTCCCGCTCAACTGGGAGGAGGCCGCCAGGAGGCGGGCGCTGCCCACCGAGCTCCGGTGATCCTCGCTCGCAAAAACTTTTTTCGTGCTGTAAAACGAGGGGAGAATCCAAGGGGTAAATAAATTGTTTGGGCTACCACCCTTCTGGGCCGTTGTTGGGCTTAATAACGGCCTGAACCCCCGGATTGTTGGGCCCAATAGTTGCTGTAGCTTATTGTATTCCATTTTCTATGTCCGAGTTTATGTCCAAGTTCGAGAAAAAAAAAAAGAGCCAAGAAACAGTACTTTTTTTAAGCCAAGGAAATAACTTCCTCTAAAAGACTACTAGTAGAAAAAGATAGCCTGTGCATTGATGTGACCAGTGAACATATACATGCGGCACGTGTGTGTATGGTCACGACTACGGAGTAGTAGGGTAGAAAGTGTTATTATGAATAGGAGCAAATACGTGATTAATTAAAATAAAATATAAATAAAATTATGTATTTTGTTTTTTATTGCTTAATTTTTGTTCTATGAATATTTCATTCATTATTAACTACAAGTCATTTTCTTATTTGTAATTATAGAACTTTAATGTGCACCTAGACATAAAGATACGTTTTTAAGAATTGTTTGCCATAATAAACACTTAAACACGAACAGATAGATGACTGATGCTACTAAAGAGTGGTAACCGTCGTCCATCCATATAGATATACGAGAGTAGTATTCTTATTTAAAGCACTTGAAGTGTTTCAGACGTTTTAGATGTATGTTGCAATTGTTTGATTTTAATGTTGTAAAAAGTAAATCGGAGGATGTTGTATATGCTACAAGTGTTTTCAGAGGCATGGTGCAAGAGTTTATTCAAAATACTTCATCTATTTCTAAAAGTATGTTGCAATCATTTTTTATCTAGATGTTGCATATGTTTCACACATATATTGCACCAGTGTATTCCTAATGATTCAACTGTTTTAGTCTTACGTTGCAGCAAGTGGTTTTTATGTTGCAAGTTGCAAGTGTTTTATTTGGGTGTTTCATGTGTTTCACACATGTTGCAAGTGCATGTTCCAAATGTTTCATCTGTATTCAGACGTATGTTGCATTCAAATGTTTTCTCATGTTGCAAGTGTTTTATGTTGTTCGGCCGGGAGCGAGTCAGGGAGCCATCGAATGGGGCGTTGGGGGCTGGCGGACAGGGGTGCTGCGGGTTGTGGCATGCTAAGGGAGTCGGAGGGTCGCTCGCATGGAGAGTCGGAGAGTCGCCCACGTGGAGAGTCGCAGAGAGAGGAAGGGGTCAGGGGAAGGATGGGGGCAGGCTACGTGGGCATCCGGACGCTGGTCACTCCGTTAATTCATAGACAATGAACTAAGTCTAATTAATGAATGCTTCTAGGGGTAAATATGACATGGTAGTTTTGTAAGCGCTAAATATTATATTTGGATTTCTCGTGTATTGGTTTGTATGTAGAAATGTTTATCAGGTTTTAGAAGTTTAGAGATAATTTTATGGTTGAAATGCGAGGCGTTCACTGGATTTTTATATAACTAGAAATGATAAAACTGTCTTAAAACCACTTATAAGCTCTAACTTAAGCAAGGAGATAATTTGCGTAGTTTTAACTTTTATAAGAGTCCGGTTGTAAATGTCCGGTTAAATTCGAGACCCTTTCTGGGCCATCAAAGTTTGTGTGCGGTCCGTACAAGGCCGCGAGTCGTATGTGCCGGCCCAGGCCCATTTCTAATAGCATTTCCTTTCTCAGATATTTATTAATCGCCTTATCCGCACTTGCACTGCAAAACAAATCGTCGTCCTTTTTTCCAGTTACCTTCCAATGGTCGCGCAAGCCATCTCCCTCTCGCTGCCGACGCCGCCCACCCACCACCACCACCACCACCATGCCAAACCTCCACCCCTGCCGCTCCACCACGCCCACGCCCCGCCGCCTCACCTCCTCCTCAAAGGCGGCTCGCTCGCCGAGGCGCTGCGAGGCGTGGACTCCTTCCGCGACGGGCGGCTCCTGGTCTCCCTCCTGCGGCAGTGCGCGGAGCTCCTCCACGGTGACGAGGACCCCGAGCGCGTCTCCGCGGCGCGTCGCGTCGCGCCGCAGCTGCATTCTCTGGCCGTCCGCGCGGGCCACACGCGGGACCCGCGTGTCGCGTGCGCGCTCGCCGACCTCCTCGTGCGCCTGGGCCGCGGGGCCTCGGCCCGGCGCCTGCTCCAGGAGGCGGTAGCGGTGGCGAAGGAGGAGGAGGGCGACGAGGAACAGGACGTGGTGCTGTGGAACAAGCGCGTCGCCATGCTCGCCGAGGCGGAGGAGTGGGGCGAGGCGATCGCCGCGTTCGGGGAGATGCGGGCGCGCGGGGTGGCTCCCGACGGGTACGCGTGCGCGCGGGCGCTCCACGCGTGCGGCCGCGCGGGGGCGCTGCGCGAGGGGCAGGCCGTGCACGCGCACGCGGCGAAGGCGGGCCACGTCGCCGCGCACCCGCTCGTGCCGGGCTTCCTCGCCGGCATGTACGCCGAGAGCGCGGACGTGGGCGCGGCCAGGCGGGTGCTCGAGACGGAGGACGCGCCGCCCGTCGCGTGGAACGTCGTCGTCGCCTGCTGCGCGCGGCTCGGGCTCGTGGACAACGCGCTGGACCTCGCGGAGCGCATGGCGAGGTCGGGCCAGCTGGAGCCCAGCCTCGCGACGTGGAACGCCGTGCTCTCCGGCTGCGCGCGGCATGGGCGCGACCGGGAAGCGTTCGGCGTTGTTCGGAGCATGCTGGATCAGGGGCTGCGACCGGACTCCAGCTCCATGTCAAGCCTGCTCAAGTCTGTGGCCAGCTTGGGTCTGCTTGCCCATGGTATGGAAGCCCATTGCTTCTTCCTCAGGAATCAGCTCGAGCCGGACGTGTACACTGGGACGGCGTTCGTTGACATGTACGCCAAGTGTGGCCGCCTCGAATACGCCCAGAAGGTGTTCGATACGGTGGAGCTTAGGAACATCACCATATGGAACTCGTTGGTTTCAGGGTACGCGAACGACGGTCAGTTTGACCATGCACTGGACCTTGTGGAGGAGATGAAGAAGAACAGGCTTGATCCTGATGTAACCACTTGGAACGGGCTGATCAATGGTTATTCGATGAACGGTCTGAGTTCGCAGGCTGTGCTGCTGCTCCGGCAGATCAAGGCGATTGGTTTGACACCAAATGTGGTTTCTTGGACCTCACTGATCTCTGGGAGCTGCCATAGTGGAGACTATGAAGATTCGTTCTACTTCTTCAATGAGATGCAGAAGGACCATGTCCAGCCCAGCGTGGTTACCATGTCGGTCTTGCTGAGGGCTTGTGCAGGGCTTGCTTTGCTGAAGAAAGGGAAGGAGCTGCATTGTTTTGCGCTGCGAAGAGCGTATGATCATGACATGGTTGTTGGAACAGCACTAATTGACATGTACTCAAAGTCAGGAAACTTGGCAAGTGCAAAGCGGATATTCGAAAGGATTCAGGAGAATAATTTGGTGTCCTGCAATGCGATGCTCACTGGGCTGGCAGCCCATGGGCAGGGCCGTGAAGCAATTTCGCTGTTCCATGACATGTGCAATTCAGGATTGAAGCCAGACAGTATAACCTTCACAGCACTGCTTACTGCTTGCAGATCAATGGAGTTGATCACTGAAGGGTGGGAGTACTTCGATAGCATGGAAAACAGATATGGTGTGACACCGACCGTTGAGAACTATGCATGCATGGTTGACCTTTTGGCAAGGTGCGGCTACCTGGATGAAGCAATGGACTTCATCAATAAGTCACCATTCAAGTCAGCAGCAAGCTTATGGGGAGCTCTTCTAACCGGTTGCACGGTACACGGAAACCTTGCTCTTGCCGAGGCTGCTGCAAGGAAATTGTTCAAACTAGAGCCGTACAATTCAGCCAACTACTTGCAGATGGTGAACTTGTACGAACATGAACAGATGTTTGATGAAGCTGAGAGCCTCAAGTATGCAATGAAAGCAAGAGTGCTGGATACTCGACCTGGGTGGAGCTGGATACAGATTGAGCAAAGTATCCATGTGTTTGAAGTCGAGGGGAAGCCACATCCAGATACTGCAGAGATATATGAAGAACTGATGCGTTTGGTTTTTCAGATCAGAAAGGCAGGATATGTTCCAGACACTAGTTGCATAGTGTATAACGTTCCAGAAGAAGAGAAGGAGAAGCTGCTGCTCAGCCATACTGAGAAGCTAGCTATCACCTATGGTTTGATCCATTCAGATTCAAGCAGAGTGCCCATCAGGGTGATCAAGAACACCAGGATGTGCAATGACTGCCATGAGGTGGCCAAGCATATCTCTGCTCTATGCGACCGGCAAATTATTCTTCGAGATGCCAATAGGTTTCACCATTTTACGGATGGGAAATGCTCTTGCAATGATTGCTTGTAAATAATGAATGGCATATAATGTACAAGGTTGGATTATCCTCTGCAATTAGTAGTTCTAAGAAGTAATTCCATTCAATCAGACCTGACAACTGAATTGCAGAAGAGTTTGCCAAGAAACAAAAGGGCTGACTATCCCTGTGAAAGAACAAGGTAATGAATCAACGGATCACCACGGATCATTGGTTCCGTTACAATTCCAGTTAATCAGTAACTATTTCTGCTGAACAAAAAGGAGAAATGCTGACATCTTTATTGCTATAGGAGAATTTCTATGCCTAAGTGAAACTGAGAATAACAAGATTCACTTGGCAGAACCAGAGCTAACTTGTACAGAAACCTGTCTCAGATGTACTAGCCAGCTCTGTACATATTGATGGCTGCACATCAAGTGCAGCGCCACTGACGGCTCGGCATTTCCATGGCCCGATGGATGCACTGCCATAGAGCTTTACATTTGAGAGGCATATGTTACTGAAAACCGAGTTCCTGATGCCCCGTATCAGCCCAGCTTGCCGGATGTTCTCACCCCAAACATTCTTAATCGTCACGCTGTAGACAACAGGAAGCACATTTGGGTTGTAGGATGCATCAGGGTGACCCCCAACATCACCGGCGATCCTCAAACCATACCGAGCTCCATGCAATGTCACTTCGGAGACGGTGATGTTCCGGATGAATCCTCCCCTTCCTGAGTTGGTCTTGATATGGATCCCAACACCCATGCCGAAGAGATTCAGGTGTTCGACAAGGACGTTCTCCACGCCACCAGAGGTCTCGCTTCCAACTGCAAAGCCAGCAAATGGCCCGGACCCGGTTATCCTCCGGATGGTGATGCCAGAGCTTGGACGGCCAAAAGCGATGCCGTACTCGTCCCAGCCGCTCTTGATGGAAATCAGGTCATCGCCCGCAGAAATATAGGAGTCCTCAATGCAGACATTGCTGCTTGAATCTGCAGGTGCACGATGATGCAGATGTAGCTTCATTAATTGTCAGGAATACGCAAATTTTGCTCAGATTTATTTACAAAGCAAGTGAAGCGTCCATTACCTAGATCGATTCCATCTGTGTTTGGAGAGTCATGCGGTGCCAACACAGTCACGTTTGCTATCACTACATTGCTGCATACACACACATGAAGTGAAGTAACGCTCATTTAGAAGGGCTGTGGTTTGTTGTGACGCTTTTAACTGTCTGACTGACATTGGGATCAACATCAATGTTCAGTTAACCAGATGTCTGTAAGTTGTGTATCGACTTTCATGCTAATTTTATTCCTAAATTAATGTTTGTTCCTGAAACTACGCTGTAGCCTGTCAAGGCGGTAGCTGAAGCACTGCTGTGGAACAGGAACAGACAAAAACAAGGTAGCAGTTGACTGAAAAATTTTGCTCCCCTCCCTCTTTGTAATGACAGGCGATCCATTCGCAGTGCTCACCTGCAGTAAACCGGGTGGATGTTCCAAAACGGCGAGTCCTGGAAGACGACGTTGGAGACGACGACGTCGGTGGAGTACATGAGCTCCAGCAGGTGCGGCCTCGTGAAGGGCAGCGTGCGCTTCTTCCACATGTCCCACCACACGCTGCCTTGGCCGTCAATGGTGCCATTCTCACCTGCCCCCGAATATAATGCCGAGCTTTCAGCAAGTGGTGGAGGAGTGACTGACTGACTGGCAGTGTATGCAAGAACCTGTGATGAAGACGTCTTGGAGACCATGGCCGTGGATCAAGCTCAGGTATCTCCCGCCAGGCAGCTCGCGCCCTCTCCCGTACGACGGCAACGGGTCGATGAGCGGCCAGCTCGACGTGTCCTGCTCCAAGCCAAGGACATGCGCAGGCTTAGTCTTAGCTCGATGGTGGCACGGCATGGCGGCGACCAGCCCAAGAGACGACGAGCGAGGTGGTACCTGGGTGGCGCGGATGACGGCGCCGCGGGCGAGGAAGAGCGTCATGTGGGAGGTGAGGTTGAAGGGGCCCGTGAGCCACACCCCGGGCGGCACGTACAGCAGCGTGCCGCCCCGCGCCCCGCGGCGGCGCTCGATGCGGGCCACGGCGCGCGCGAACGCGCCCGTGTTGAGCGTCTGCCCGTCCCCGCGCCCGCCGAAGCTGGCCACGGACATCCACGCCCCGCGCCGCGGCGCCGGCCCCGACCAGCACGTCTCCTGCGCCCCTGCCGAGGACAGCAGCAGCAGCGCCACCAGCGCCGTGGCGAGCAGGCGCAGCGCCGGCGGCATCCCTCTTTCTTGGCGCAGGCGCGCTAGTGGCTTGGCTTGTTGCGGTGGCGGTGAAGCGGGGAGGAAGGAGGCGACGAGCAGGAGAGTACAAGGCGCAAAAGCTGCTGCGTCCCTGCTTCTGGGTGGATGTAAATGCGGTTGTTGTTTTACCTGCAACTGCAATTGACAAGCTCACAGCGCCATGGATTGGGTCTGGGTTGGTCCCTTGTGCTTGAGGATGGCAGTGGCAGTGGCACACTGGTCACTGGCACGGCAGCGTCGGCAGTGTGTGTGAGCTGGCGTCGGCCCCATGCTTGTATAGGAAATAGGATCCAGAGCACAGTCGTCGTCCATTCTCAGTTAGACTTCGGGTCCTGTCTCACGTTAAAACATACGGACTTTATTCTATAAAGAAAGAAGGATTACGAATCTTAATCTTAATCCATTTGTGTATGGATTTTTATCAAGCTCTTAGATCTTAGCAGAAATATATATATATATATATATACTCACAAACTCGAGTATATATATATATATATATATATATATATATATATATATATATATATATATATATATATATATATATATGCTAACAACACGTTTTATAACAAATAGTAGTCCGTCTGATTAAAAAAAAAGGTAGTCCGTCAGGACCTAAATAACTTCACTTCCAGCTTTACAAAGAATCGAACTTTTTTTAGTTTGATGATTAAATTTTATATAAGATATCTTCTAATTTATTTATATTATTAAAAATTTATTATTTAATTATATACTTATTAGATATCATAAATTTTAGTATATTTTGTGTATATATATTTGGTTAATTTTTTAAAAAACAATTGACTTCTTGAAAAAACAAAATGTGCATGCGTTTTGTTTTTTTGTGCATGTGTCTTTACAGTTTACGGTACCAGTTTTGTTTCTGTGCAAGTGCAGACGTGCAGTGATGGTACAAATAAATACAGACGGTACCACGTACAATACAATGGTATACTACATGGTCCAAACAGGCAGCCAAACCATCGTGCTCCAACGGCCATTGCTTTCATGATTCAAACGCCATTGCTGAAACCAAATCCGCCGTGCTGCTTTTAGTTTGATGACCGGCTCAATGGTTGCTCTTAAGCAAATATAAGATACTTCTTCTAATTTACTTTACCCGCCATGTTAAAAATAGCCCGATTATTTATTATATTTTTAAATTACCAAATATCTTTAAATTTTAGTATATGTTTCTCTATATATATTTAGATACATATTCATATAAAAAATTGCTCTCTATTCTTTGAAAAAACAATAAATGTGCATGCGTTTTTGTCATTCATGTCCTGTATTTTTTGTATCTTCGGAGATCTAATTTACAGTTTTACGTTTGTACCAAAATCTTTTTTTCAATTAATTAGAATATAAAGGCTTGAAGTTGCAGTTGTTTTATCTTTGCAGTTGATGGTATGTAAATAGATATACTAGATGTTTGGATATTATATAGTTTTTTTCATATAGAAAAATCAAACGATCTATAATTTGAGTTGATGAAGTATTTACTAAATATTTCACAGGAAGCCAAACCATCGTGCTCCAACAGAGCGGAAGAATGTTTTGATGATTCAAACGCCATTGCTGAAACCAAGTCAACTCCAACGAGACAGACACTGGTTGGTGAGGCTGATGAACATCAAGTTCAGTAGTTGAAAACGGATCGGACCGGCTCATATTATATTTGGTTGATTCTGATTCGGAAGGATATATATTAAAGCCACCTTCTGGATTGAATAATGGTTGAATACGGTATGCAGCGGATTGCTGCGACTACAAATATCCCGATATTGTGCCCAACATACATAGTATATATATATATATATATATTAATTTTTAAACCATTAACCACCAAGTCCATAATCCATCTTTACTACTAAAGAGTAAAGCAACAAATACGATATATCATACATCAAACATCATAAATCACCAATCAGCGCTGAGTAGACAGCCATTCATGTCTTCATCTATCTTTGGAGTCATGGTCATCTCATCAAGAGATACTAATCCTTATATAAGCCATTTTTCATTGAGAAAGTTTGTTTGTTCAAACCAAAATCTTTAATCATGAGATTCAATTTTGAATTAAAACTTTCTCAAATGGGAAAATAAGCTATCTTGAAGATCTTGCTGAGATGATCCAAGTTGTTTTATCTTTCATCTAAGGTCATTTAAGTGTCTCATTTGAGCAAGTTTGACAAAGTCAAATTTGATCAAATGAAAAACAACATTAACTCTAGTGTTATGAATATAAATGATCAAATTGAAAAGTTTTGAATATATGTTCAACTCATCAAGATCTACAATTGTTATTTTGGTCAACTTTCCATTTGAGATAGTTTGATGGTTTAAATTTATGATTTTTAAAAATATTTTGAACCCTAGATTGTCTCAAATTGAAAAGTTTTGGCAAAAAGTTAATCTCATCAAGATCCTAGCTTATATAGGTCATTTTTCATTTGAAAGTTTCGCCAAGTGTGTGCCATAGTTTCCTCTATATGAGATTTAAGAATTTGTGACTAGTGTTTGAAAAGACTTTCTCAAATGGAAAATGAGATGTAATAATTAGATCTTCTGAGATGATCAAACTTGATATTCAGAGTTTTTTCATCTGGTCATTTAGTGTCTCATTTGAGCAAGTTTGGCTGATGAATTTGGTCAAATAAAAAATAACCTGACTCTAGTATTATGAACTCTAAATGACTCTAAATTGAACTTTTGAATACCAAGTTTGTTCAACTCGTCAAGATCACAATTGTTGATGCCCACATTCATTTGAGATAGTTTGGATGGTCAAATTTCGATTTTTAAATCCCTATAAACTAGTTTTCCATTTGAGAAATTTGGATGGTTTAATTTTGAAGCACTAAATGATTTCAAACGAAAAAGTTGTAAACAACAAAGTTTCATAACTTTTTGAGATCTACAATTTTATTTTGATCATTTCTCCATCCAAGGTTTTGAATAATATCCGGATAATATTCGTTTTTAAATATCAGGATATATCGATACTTATCCGGATTATCCGATATCCGCCGGATATCGATGATATTACATCCGTATTTGATATATAAGATATCCGTTTTAGTATAAAAAAAATTACGGATATCCGAGTAACTATCCAGATAAGTATTTATATTTGTTCGGTCGAACGGACGGTCGAATAAATATCCGTACCGTTTTCATCCATACCTGCTAGTAGCAAAGTCCCTACAGTGAACTACTGAGAATGCACCGTGCACGGATGCCCACATTCATATCTGTGGGTGCCCGTCGATCCCTACTCCCTAGCCATGAAAATCAGTAGGTTAATGATCCATGTGCCCCTATTACTGAAACGCTGTAGCCTTCAATCCTGCTGCATCATTGCAGCTGCGGGTCTGTTCGGCTGGTATTAAAGCGGGTGATAAGTCAACCCTGCTGCATCATGAGAGAAAAATGCAGTAAATTTGCCCAGTCTGCAGATCTCTGAGAGCCCAGCTGCAGATCTTTGGGCAGTGACCACCACCACGTTTTTACTGAACGTTCGTCCTTGGCTGTGTAAGGACTTCGATCTGTAAGCGCAGAAACATGCAGTGCAGTGGAGGTATAATAATAATGGGCATGGTGATGATGCTGCGCGGGCGGGCAGGCCGCGTACTGGTACTGCTTCATCTTCTGACGATTTAGCATCTCCACAGGATGCCATGTACGTATCCTGCACTACGGATCTTGCTCTGCAGAGCAACATGATGGTTCTTCAGCCCAGCGGCCCTGCCCAGTAGCAATCGGCTGGATTAGATGGAAGATCGGTCCGGGGACATCCCAAAATGGACCCAGCATTTAGTAACTCTCATCGATACAACAGCAACTACAAGTCTACAGCAATGCCGTATAGGATGATGAACAGACGATAAGCATGCAAATGGGCAGCTATGCCACCGGTAACCCTACTGACCGGAGAACCAAAATTAAGGGCATATATAGACAGGCAACGAACATCAACTCCTTTTCTTAAGTACCAGCCGCGGGGGCCACCATGGATGGGGGCAGCAAAATCCGGCTCAAGGTAAAAGGACCCCGACAACACGTATAACCAACAACAAATGGAATGGAATCAACTCTTGTCGCCTGGAGGCGAGGAAGGGGAATCGCCGCCGCCGCCGCCGCTGCTACCTGGCTTGTCATGCTGGAACTTCACCACGATGCACGTGATGTTATCGCCGCTCCCACGGGAGAACGCAGTCTCTGTCAGCTTCTGGGCTGCTGCCTCAGGTTCCTCCTCCATTTTCACAAGTGTAACCGCATCCTGTGGGAAAGATGAGATGGTCAGTCAAGCATCGTAAGAAGGATTGAGTGCACCATTAGCAAGAGCCCCAATAAGGAAAGCTCTGTAGATTTTTTTCCCCGACACCAAGAAACCCGAATTTCATTTACAGCAAGGATTGTCACTGCAGTACATTCAAACAATACTAACGCACACAATACCAACACATCCGAGCACCAAGGGCTCAGCAGGTGAGGCAACACCGCAAAACCACCAAAAAAGCTACACGCTTAAACCAGCTTAACATACAACACACTCAGATATCAATGCCAGCAGTAGAAAACAAGCTCAGATCTTATTGTTCTAAAAACACACTAAGATACCTACAATTTTGTTTCTGCAATGTGCAAACGATTAGAGCCAAGCCAAAAAAAATTCCACTCAGACAAGAGGGGCTCATCAGTTAAATACTATGCGGTACAGAGCTTGTAGAAAATGTCAAAATGGTACAGCAAATTTATGCAACTCAAGCAAAAATTTATCAGTTAAATACAATAGGTGAAACTGCATCTTGGGTGAAGAAGATGAAACCATTTGCCATTTGTCATGAACATGCATCCAAAGAGGCACAATAAAGATAATGAAAGAATACTGTCCAGCAGTACAAAAGAATTGCAAAAGCAAGGGACAAAGAATGGAGAGCGGATGGTACAAGTTCCATTCACACACAAAC